AACACATACTAATGGAAGGCCATACTTGTTGTCCCAGCTATAATTTTTATAATTGATTGTGCTGCCTCCAGAGGAAAGATTGTAATATTTTGCATATTGAGGTGGACAAAAAGCCACCAAATAAAGGTTGACTTTGCCATAAAATTTTTATTTTCTGAGGGTGTATGAAAAGGGACTAAGACTAAAGAACACTTAAAGTTTTCCAATTGAGTATTTTTTGTAAATTTTATAGTTTATACTTATTATCCTGGCTATAATTTTTATTAAATAAATACTTTCATTGACAAAAAGTTATGTACCAGGAAGGAGGCATTGAATGAAACTTAGTGTAAATGTAATAACAATATGATGACAATGTGTAATATGGTAATAAGTGATTACAATATCATAACAAAGTGACAGTTTCCTATAGAACAATGTTACAACTTAAAGGAACCTTTAGTATCTTATAGGATCTTTGGAATATATATATATTATCATAAACAAGATGATAAACTATTTACAACATATCATGATATGGAAAGAAGATTTTGTTTAATATTATCATTTTTGATTAAATAAATTATTTTAAAATATTTAATTTTGTAAGATATAATTTTCCTAATTGCAATTATTTTTAAAAAATTTTTATTTTTAATTGTGTTTTATTTATAAGCTTGTGATTTTATTGTTGATAAATAAGACTTATAAATTCTACAACATTTTTCAAATCTTCAGTTTTTTTTTTATTTTCAAAAATATAAGGAAAAAATAAAATCAGAAATTTTCATTCTGAATGATTAGAAGTGTGATGAATTTAAATTGAATTGGATAACCAAATATAATAGATAATATAGATATATACAGTATTATTGATTACAATTTTTAAATAAATTTTTAAGTTTTGTAATGAAAAGTTAAAGTAATGATTAAAGGATGGCTGTTGTAAGAGAAGGAAATAATTGGCTATAATAACTTTCTAATTTTCTTTTCTCATATAATAGAGATTTATTCACAATGAAAGTTTACAAAATTTGGCACCATGTTTATATATATATATAGATTGTCAACACTTTTATTTTTTAAAATATTTTTGATTTATTTAACAGATTAGAAAGATGTATAACATATGAAAGAGAAATTTTTATTTTACAACAAAATTAAAATTAAAATATCAAAAACAATTGTAATAGAATAAAATTTCTAAATTATAAAATTTTACAGAATAGCATTATATATTAAAAATAAAAAGAATTTGATTTTATTTTTAATTTTATCTCTTAATTTTATATAAAATTGAGTCTAGCCAAAATAACTATATATAGTCTTTAGAATTAAAAAATAAAGAATACAGAACTTCTTAGTGCTCTATGAATACCAAAAGATTATTATAAAATAGTAATTTATTAATTTTGTTTTAAAAAATTGATCTAAATAAGATACTGAAATTATTGAATTTTAACTAGTAGAGTTACCAAAAATTGAAGGATGAAACTGAAAAAAAATTACAAATGAGAATATAGCTGTTCTAATTTTTAGTGAATATTGTTTTTCATATTCCATGAACTGTAATTAAATTATATAAATTAATAAAGTTGAACATTCATAATTTTATGCTTAATATGATAAGAATTAATTAATAAATTTCAGTTATATAAATGTCATTTAAATAAAAAGTACATTACATTTTTATTGTTTTATCCAAAATGTAACATTTTGATATGAATGTCTGTCTGTCTGACATATTAATACAATATATTGCAAATTGCAAAAAATTGAGCAATATATTGCAAAATTCAATCTGAACAATTGTTCAGATTGAATTTTGCAATATATTGCTCAATATATTGCAATTTGCAATATATTGTATTAATATGTCAGACAGACAGACATTCATATCAAAATGTTACATTTTGGATAAAACAATAAAAATGTAATGTACTTTTTATTTAAATGACATTTATATAACTGAAATTTATTAATTAATTCTTATCATATTAAGCATAAAATTATGAATGTTCAACTTTATTAATTTATATAATTTAATTACAGTTCATGGAATATGAAAAACAATATTCACTAAAAATTAGAACAGCTATATTCTCATTTGTAATTTTTTTTCAGTTTCATCCTTCAATTTTTGGTAACTCTACTAGTTAAAATTCAATAATTTCAGTATCTTATTTAGATCAATTTTTTAAAACAAAATTAATAAATTACTATTTTATAATAATCTTTTGGTATTCATAGAGCACTAAGAAGTTCTGTATTCTTTATTTTTTAATTCTAAAGACTATATATAGTTATTTTGGCTAGACTCAATTTTATATAAAATTAAGAGATAAAATTAAAAATAAAATCAAATTCTTTTTATTTTTAATATATAATGCTATTCTGTAAAATTTTATAATTTAGAAATTTTATTCTATTACAATTGTTTTTGATATTTTAATTTTAATTTTGTTGTAAAATAAAAATTTCTCTTTCATATGTTATACATCTTTCTAATCTGTTAAATAAATCAAAAATATTTTAAAAAATAAAAGTGTTGACAATCTATATATATATATAAACATGGTGCCAAATTTTGTAAACTTTCATTGTGAATAAATCTCTATTATATGAGAAAAGAAAATTAGAAAGTTATTATAGCCAATTATTTCCTTCTCTTACAACAGCCATCCTTTAATCATTACTTTAACTTTTCATTACAAAACTTAAAAATTTATTTAAAAATTGTAATCAATAATACTGTATATATCTATATTATCTATTATATTTGGTTATCCAATTCAATTTAAATTCATCACACTTCTAATCATTCAGAATGAAAATTTCTGATTTTATTTTTTCCTTATATTTTTGAAAATAAAAAAAAAACTGAAGATTTGAAAAATGTTGTAGAATTTATAAGTCTTATTTATCAACAATAAAATCACAAGCTTATAAATAAAACACAATTAAAAATAAAAATTTTTTAAAAATAATTGCAATTAGGAAAATTATATCTTACAAAATTAAATATTTTAAAATAATTTATTTAATCAAAAATGATAATATTAAACAAAATCTTCTTTCCATATCATGATATGTTGTAAATAGTTTATCATCTTGTTTATGATAATATATATATATTCCAAAGATCCTATAAGATACTAAAGGTTCCTTTAAGTTGTAACATTGTTCTATAGGAAACTGTCACTTTGTTATGATATTGTAATCACTTATTACCATATTACACATTGTCATCATATTGTTATTACATTTACACTAAGTTTCATTCAATGCCTCCTTCCTGGTACATAACTTTTTGTCAATGAAAGTATTTATTTAATAAAAATTATAGCCAGGATAATAAGTATAAACTATAAAATTTACAAAAAATACTCAATTGGAAAACTTTAAGTGTTCTTTAGTCTTAGTCCCTTTTCATACACCCTCAGAAAATAAAAATTTTATGGCAAAGTCAACCTTTATTTGGTGGCTTTTTGTCCACCTCAATATGCAAAATATTACAATCTTTCCTCTGGAGGCAGCACAATCAATTATAAAAATTATAGCTGGGACAACAAGTATGGCCTTCCATTAGTATGTGTTCAAGTTTTCAATGGATGACATTGAAAACTTTTGAACTTTTGAAAACCAATTATAATATGGAGAAAATTGCATTTAATCAAACTAAATTTTTTTATAAATATAAATGTATTTTCAGGTCTAATAAATTTCCCTGAAATATTTCTTATATTTTCAAAATATTTAAAAATACTTAACCATTCCATTGATTTTCATTCACTAAAAATGTATTGAATAAAAATAATAAATGCATATAGTTTTTGTATAGATAACTTCATAACTTTGCTAATTCATATTTTTATTTATTAATTATTTTTATTTTATATAAAACATATATCATGTAAAAAGTATATCTTGCATAAAGTTTTTACCTAATTTATGATTTTTTAAATTATGATGTGAACCATATAATGATAATCTCATAATGTTATACAGTAGAGCATCGATAATCCTAATGTTGATCAATCAAAACATCAATTAACTGAAAGCTTTCCAGTTGGCAAATTTAAATTTCCACTAATGCTGTGGCACTGCAATCTTTGGCTATGTCTTGGGCTACTCCAATATTATTTTTGTTGGTGTGCATTTTAGCTGGCACCACTTGCACGACCATGAGAACGTAGTTAAGGACATGCCAGGATTTGAATGAATTTCAACATGGAATAGGGTTAATATATTTTTTCATAAATAATCGATTATCCAAAAAATCGATTTTCCAAACAACCCCAGTCCCCAATTGATTCGGATAATCGATGCTCTATTGTAATTAAAAAATAATTTTAATTCATTTTTTTGCATTGTTATAACTTAGTATAAAATTTTGTAATTCCATTTCTTCAAAATTTACAAAAGCTTTAAAAAGCAAGCATTTGTTATTTAAACATCATGTATTATGATAAACAAGTATTATATATGTATATCATTACAAATTAATATGATATTGCATTATTGTTTTACAAATTACAGGATTTTACAAAAGTGAAATCCTGTTTTTAATTGCAATAATTGATTAATATTGTATAAAAATAATTAAGCTTAACATTCAACTAATAAACATCACTAACACAAAGTTTATATAGAAAGAAAAAATCATGTTAGTTCCATCATTTGTAATAACTTTTTTCTAAAAATATTCATACTAATTTTTTTATAAGCAGTCACTATTATATTATGTAAAATACCATATAAATGACAAGTTTTGAAAATTCTATTTATGATATATGAATGTATAATGAATATTTCAAATATACTGTATATGCTTAATTCACACATGTTTAAAAAATATTTATATACAAGAATATCAAAATTATTTTAAAATGTTTTCTTGACCTAAGCTTTCATAAAATATTCATTTAAATCAGATTTTATAGTTTGAATAGTGTAAAGTTTTATATAATGCATAAATTGCTAAAATTAGAAACGAATAAACAAAATTAATTATTAATTACCTTTATTTCTGTATGATTGTTTTAATGGCAGTAATTACACTGTGGATGACAACGTTTGCCATCCAATCCACATCTACAGCCACTGCTCGTATCTCCATGACCCTTATGTTAATAATAACTAGAAATTATTATAGTTGAGACTTAAAAAAAAAAAAAAACAAATGTATAATCAAACTTACTTCAGGTCCCCAACGTGGCTGTTTTGTTATCCAACATATTTCTGTTTGACAAACTGAACACTTTAACCAATCACATCCCCATCTTTTCATAACTATCACATTGCATTTGGGACAAAACATTGCTTTACCTTCTTGCACCATATTCTTAAAAAAATTATACAAGTTAAAAATTTTTTATTATTGTTATTTTATTTTCTATAAATTTAAAATTTTATACTTCAAGATATTCCTTAGTTTCTCGTGCTTCTTTGTCTCTTTCAGATCGATATGCTAATTCATCTTGATACTGTTTACAATTTAAACCTTCATGAATGGCTTGACAGGAGAGACAATTAACATGAAAACAAACAGGACAGTCAAATGTATTAATTGTGTCTTCATATACACACCAACCAGGACAATCTGGAGATTTACAATGAAAACTATTTTCTGTACAGCTTTCTGCTGTTACTAATCCACGCCGCAAATATCGTTCAAAAACTTCTGGTGACACTAACTGAAATTATGAAAATAAAATTTAGAAATGTATTAATATTTTATATAAATTATATGTACAGGATGATTCAAAAAGACTTTACAACTTTGAAAGAATATCAAATTTTAATCAGAAAACTTAACTGACAGAATTTATAGCAAAACACATCAAGTTTGTCTCAAATAGTGCAGAAATGTTGCATTGGATTGAGGAAGATGAGAACATTCCCTAGACACCTGTGATGAGTCAACATTTCAACTCAGTGGGAAAATGAACACACAAACTGCAGGATTGGAGTTTGAAAATTCACAAGTAACTGTAGAACATGATCATGATAGTCAAAAATTTGGTCTTATTTATTTTTGGTCTTTTTGCTAAAATAAAGTGTACAGCTGCTTCTTTATTCCATTAAAGAACTATCGATGATATCATGTATCTGAATTAAAGGAAAATTTTCTCATTCTACAGTCAGACAATAATGACATAAAAAGGACATATGCATTTTCAGCAAGATGGTACATCATTCCACTAATGTACAGATGTCCAGGATTTCCTCAAAACTGTTTTATTTTTTTTTAATTTTTAAATTGATACAAATAATGTCTTTCAGGACAAGAAAGAATTTCCCCTGAAAACAAGGCCTTGAATAAAACTAATAGACAACAACAATAAACATACAATGCATAAATATACAAAAAACATACCAAAAACAATCATAATAAGGAGTAAGAAAAAACTAAAAGTATATTTTCCAGGTTGGTGAATTGATCAAGTAGGGCTGATAGCTTGATCACTTTGTTCCTCAGATTTGATGCCTCTCAATTTTTTCTTCTTGGATTTCATTAAAGAGCTAGTGTTTATTCCATCCTTGCTTGCAAATAGTGCTGAGCTCCAAAACTTGAATCACTGTCACAGTTACTAACCTGAAAACAGATATATGTTGCTTTGAGTTTATCAAGAAATCAAATTCAGGTAATATGTTTGCTGTATCACCATCAATGAAGCTAACATCAAACCAAAATGACTGTTTAAGGTTAAATGTGATGTGCTTTGCTATAAATTAACACCTCAACTGATTTCGTAAGTCTTCTCATTACATGTTATATGCTTTCAAACTTATATTCTATTTGAATCACCTAATATATATATATATATATGTTATATTAAATAATTACTGCTTTAATTTCTCTTTCTTGAAGAATGCTATCACAGGAGTATTGATCATTTCTAAAAAGGCACTTAATAATTGCATTTTCTGTAAATTCAATGGCATTTGCTAAGCATTGCCTGGAAAATATAATTGAGATAAAATAATAAATTGCATTATTTATTTATTTTAAAAATTGCTTATGTTATATTTTACTTGCAAAACTGATGAAGGCAATCTCTTAAAACAACTCCTTCATTTGCTTTAACATCACTGAAACAAACAGAACATTCAAATGAATCAGCATTTGGTATCAAATCTTGATTATCAAGCTGAATAAGGAACTGGTAATTTTTTTCAGCTTCTTTTTTTAAATTCTCATATTTTTCATTCTAAAACGTAAATAGATATAATAAAATTATAGAATTGTTTTTACACGAATAAAACTATTAAATTTTATAAAGAAATGAAAAATTATAATTATATAATTATATTTACTATTTCATGATTTTCAGCCATCACATTAAGATTTCTGCAATGAGAATTTTCTGCTTTAGTATTTGATTTAGATTCTCTGCATGACTGACAAGACTCTAATATTCCACAAGTAGAACATACATCTGAAAATGCAAGTAAATTCTGTTATTTTGTGTACAGTGAAGCTTCTCTTAATTACTAACTTAATTTGTTTCATAATTTGTCTTTACCTTCATTTTCTTCAGGAATATTTGGGATATTTTCAAAATTAAACAAATGACTTTGTACATCTTCAAAGAATAAATTTTGATGCTGATTTTCTTCATTTGAAGAAGAATTATTATTTAATACATTAGATGCTTCACTTTCAGAACTTGGATACATTAAATATAAGAAAAGGGGACATCCTGCATCAGTTACATCATAATCAGATAATGTAATATCATCATCAATAACCAATCTCTTGTTTAATATCCATCTTTGAAATTCTTTAGGAATAGAATATTCTTTCTCTATCTAAACAAATAAAAATTTTAAATTATAAAAATCTAAGCTAAAAATTTAATGACTTAATAAAGACTTACTTTACTTTTCAACATTCCAAGAGTCATAAAAGAATGAATTTTTAATGGAAATGGCCCTTGATGAAGAAATTTATCTTCAATATAAAGGCTAACTCTGAAAGAAAGAATTATTTATAATCATGATAAATCATTTTTATTTTTGATTCTATTTTTATTACAGTTACATTTCTGCCAAAATATACTGCAGAAGCCATAAATTTTTTTAAACAAATTGATAATTTGATAATAATCTTTGTCTTTTTGATACTAAAAAATTATATTATAAACTTATATAATTTAGTTAAAATAATTTCATAAAAATAATTTTTTTAAATTAANGTACACCGACAGTTGTTCATAGATGGCGCGTATAATTGAATTAAGTCATCTACCGAACAAAAGTTGTATACCAAGCAAAATTTGTTTAGTCCAAACAGGACGTATTCCGAATTGGACGTATTCTAAAGCAGACATATACTAAGGTACCACTGTATATGTATGCTATGTTGATGACATCTTGATGATATGGAAAGAAAAACCAGACATTCAACAGTTCATCAGAGATGTCAATTCCAACCAATTTGGCCTAGAGCTTGAACTAGAGCAAGAGAACGATAAAACTATACATTTTCTAGACATAGCAATAGAAGTAAAGAACAGAGCGGAAAGCACTATAAAAGATTACAGAAACCCGACTAATAACCCGTTATTAATACCATGGACCTCCCATGATCACGCAAGCTATAAATAGCAGTGTTCTGGGTGCTTATAAAGAGAGCATACATGCACTGCAGCAAACTTCAAGACATAATTATAAAATTAGATAACATCAAAGAACTAGCTAGGCAGCGCAGTGACAGCCAGAATATGATAAAGGCCATTATTAACAAAAGAAGAATATTCTCAGTTTTCTGAAACCGTGTTTCATAATTTTCTATAATTCTCAAACACAAAACCATACTACTATTATTTAAACACTTGGCGTTTTTTCATCTTTATTCAGTTGATACGAGTATTACTACACGTTTCGGGCACTGCCCCTCATCAGCCAACTAAACATTAAAAAGGTATACATAAATTTTTTAACAAAACAACATTATACAGAAAGGCTATTTTACAAAAATATATAACTAAATGTATAAATTCATTTGCGAGACATACCATTAGATTCTTTACAAATTTGAAAGGTGTACACATGTATAAGAGTAATGCAGTTTTGTATCTCTGTCTAGATAAATTTTCACACATTTTTTACAAATTTATAATGCAACATTATTTATTTTATATTTATAGGAAATTTACAAAATATAACCTATCTTAAGTTTTACAATATACTACATTTATTAGTGAGACTTAGAATATATTTTTCCAACAATGAAATCAAAAGTAGGCTTCACCAACACAAAATTTATGTACATCTGGTTTAGAAACAAATAATTGATACATATGTATATAAACAATATAAAAATATTAAAAATGACATCAAAAACAGAAGAATAGATGATAACGAAGGTAATGAGTGGGAAAGAATAGAAGAATACACTATGATGGAATACATGGCACCCCTAAGCAAAATTTACAAAGAAATAGGAGCAGCAACAAACAAAATGATAATTTTTAAAAGGGATCCAACAATATACCAAATACTGCATACAGACAAGCAAGACATAGACCAGAACCTGATACCAGGAGTTTATAGAATACCAGTACAAAATGAAAGGGGACAAAAAGAGCTATATTACATCAGAGCCACAGGGAGGTCATTGAAAAAAAGGCTAAATGAGCATAAAAGGAATGTACAGAACAAGCAGCCAGTAACAGCATTAGCAATGTATGTTCTAGCAGACCCAACAGAGGTCATAGTGGATTAGGAAAGAGGTAAAATAATACAAAAGATCCAGGACAAGAGACACCTGAAATATGCTGAAGCGTGGCAAATACATAAGACAAACCAGAAAATATCTGTGATAATAGCTGTTTATTCGTTCATACATATATATGTCTCTTTAATCCGAAAAATTACAAGAATTCCAGTAGACTATCTTACAGCCTTTAGGTCAGGAACATCCTTTATTGAATATACAGGTTACATGTGAATTTTTGTAATTTTTCGGATTAAAGAGACATATACATGTATGAACAAACCAGGAAGGATTAGTGATAAACTACAGAGAGTCTAGTAAAGTCTCAGCAGCGTGGAGAGCAGGCATAATATGATAATTTTAGTATGAAAAAAAAGGGACAAACAGTAGAGAAATTGTTATTCTTTTTGTATGAACCTGCACACTAGATAAAAAAATTCAAACGTTTAAATGTTCCAAAAGAAAGTTCGTTATAGAAAGCAAAATCAGAATCATTCAATTTTTCTGTTCCTGAGGAAGACCATTCAAAATGGCTGAAAACATTTGGAAAAATGAATAAAAAAAAACTTCATTTTAAAGGTTTTTGTTCAAGGTATGAGTTTTATTTAAGTGCAGTTACAGATGAGTGTTTTATTAATTTTTACTTCTAACTGTTAATATTAATAATACTTATTTATAATTTTTTAATACATTCAGTAATTTTATATTACTTTAAAGCTGAATTATATTCTAAATAATATTTTCTGAGGTTATCATTTCTTTTATAAAGATTATCTATTCTATTTTTATTATTAAATTATATACTATTATTTATTAATACAGTATACACAGTAAAATGCTAGGTCTATAATTATGATATCACTTCATTTTAAGATGAAGATTATAATGACATCATTATTAAATAATCAAAATTAACAGGATTCTAATTGGTTTTGTAATTGAGTTTCCAGATAATCAATGATATCATTATCAAGATTTTTTCTATATCTAAAATCCTGTAAAAAAATTGTATTTTATAATTAGGTGTATTTAAAATGTAATTTGGTATATTCTATTACATTGATGTCATGTATATTTCATTAAAAGATAGAATGCACTATTGACAATGTGGCCAATATTGTGATTTAAAATTGAGCAATATATTGCAAAATTCAATCTGAACAATTGTTCAGATTGAATTTTGCAATATATTGCTCAATTTTAAATCACAATATTGGCCACATTGTCAATAGTGCATTCTATCTTTTAATGAAATATACATGACATCAATGTAATAGAATATACCAAATTACATTTTAAATACACCTAATTATAAAATACAATTTTTTTACAGGATTTTAGATATAGAAAAAATCTTGATAATGATATCATTGATTATCTGGAAACTCAATTACAAAACCAATTAGAATCCTGTTAATTTTGATTATTTAATAATGATGTCATTATAATCTTCATCTTAAAATGAAGTGATATCATAATTATAGACCTAGCATTTTACTGTGTATACTGTATTAATAAATAATAGTATATAATTTAATAATAAAAATAGAATAGATAATCTTTATAAAAGAAATGATAACCTCAGAAAATATTATTTAGAATATAATTCAGCTTTAAAGTAATATAAAATTACTGAATGTATTAAAAAATTATAAATAAGTATTATTAATATTAACAGTTAGAAGTAAAAATTAATAAAACACTCATCTGTAACTGCACTTAAATAAAACTCATACCTTGAACAAAAACCTTTAAAATGAAGTTTTTTTTTATTCATTTTTCCAAATGTTTTCAGCCATTTTGAATGGTCTTCCTCAGGAACAGAAAAATTGAATGATTCTGATTTTGCTTTCTATAACGAACTTTCTTTTGGAACATTTAAACGTTTGAATTTTTTTATCTAGTGTGCAGGTTCATACAAAAAGAATAACAATTTCTCTACTGTTTGTCCCTTTTTTTTCATACTAAAATTATCATATTATGCCTGCTCTCCACGCTGCTGAGACTTTACTAGACTCTCTGTAGTTTATCACTAATCCTTCCTGGTTTGTTCATACATGTATATGTCTCTTTAATCCGAAAAATTACAAAAATTCACATGTAACCTGTATATTCAATAAAGGATGTTCCTGACCTAAAGGCTGTAAGATAGTCTACTGGAATTCTTGTAATTTTTCGGATTAAAGAGACATATATATGTATGAACGAATAAACAGCTATTATCACAGATATTTTCTGGTTTGTCTTATGTATTTGCCACGCTTCAGCATATTTCAGGTGTCTCTTGTCCTGGATCTTTTGTATTATTTTACCTCTTTCCTAATCCACTATGACCTCTGTTGGGTCTGCTAGAACATACATTGCTAATGCTGTTACTGGCTGCTTGTTCTGTACATTCCTTTTATGCTCATTTAGCCTTTTTTTCAATGACCTCCCTGTGGCTCTGATGTAATATAGCTCTTTTTGTCCCCTTTCATTTTGTACTGGTATTCTATAAACTCCTGGTATCAGGTTCTGGTCTATGTCTTGCTTGTCTGTATGCAGTATTTGGTATATTGTTGGATCCCTTTTAAAAATTATCATTTTGTTTGTTGCTGCTCCTATTTCTTTGTAAATTTTGCTTAGGGGTGCCATGTATTCCATCATAGTGTATTCTTCTATTCTTTCCCACTCATTACCTTCGTTATCATCTATTCTTCTGTTTTTGATGTCATTTTTAATATTTTTATATTGTTTATATACATATGTATCAATTATTTGTTTCTAAACCAGATGTACATAAATTTTGTGTTGGTGAAGCCTACTTTTGATTTCATTGTTGGAAAAATATATTCTAAGTCTCACTAATAAATGTAGTATATTGTAAAACTTAAGATAGGTTATATTTTGTAAATTTCCTATAAATATAAAATAAATAATGTTGCATTATAAATTTGTAAAAAATGTGTGAAAATTTATCTAGACAGAGATACAAAACTGCATTACTCTTATACATGTGTACACCTTTCAAATTTGTAAAGAATCTAATGGTATGTCTCGCAAATGAATTTATACATTTAGTTATATATTTTTGTAAAATAGCCTTTCTGTATAATGTTGTTTTGTTAAAAAATTTATGTATACCTTTTTAATGTTTAGTTGGCTGATGAGGGGCAGTGCCCGAAACGTGTAGTAATACTCGTATCAACTGAATAAAGATGAAAAAACGCCAAGTGTTTAAATAATAGTAGTATGGTTTTGTGTTTGAGAATTATAGAAAATTATGAAACACGGTTTCAGAAAACTGAGAATATTCTTCTTTTGTTAATAATGGCCTTTATCATATTCTGGCTGTCACTGCGCTGCCTAGCTAGTTCTTTGATGTTATCTAATTTTATAATTATGTCTTGAAGTTTGCTGCAGTGCATGTATGCTCTCTTTATAAGCACCCAGAACACTGCTATTTATAGCTTGCGTGATCATGGGAGGTCCATGGTATTAATAACGGGTTATTAGTCGGGTTTCTGTAATCTTTTATAGTGCTTTCCGCTCTGTTCTTTACTTCTATTGCTATGTCTAGAAAATGTATAGTTTTATCGTTCTCTTGCTCTAGTTCAAGCTCTAGGCCAAATTGGTTGGAATTGACATCTCTGATGAACTGTTGAATGTCTGGTTTTTCTTTCCATATCATCAAGATGTCATCAACATAGCATACATATACAGTGGTACCTTAGTATATGTCTGCTTTAGAATACGTCCAATTCGGAATACGTCCTGTTTGGACTAAACAAATTTTGCTTGGTATACAACTTTTGTTCGGTAGATGACTTAATTCAATTATACGCGCCATCTATGAACAACTGTCGGTGTACTAGACCAGACTAGACGTTCGCGGTGCCACAGTTTATAACTTTGTTAGATTTCTTCTGATTTTAATTTGTAAGTAAAATTTTATTATTAATCATGAATTGCAAGAAGGCAAATGAAAAGCAACAGAAAACTAAAAAAATGACTAGAATCACAACTGAAAAAAGAGATTGTTGAGAAATATGAAGGTGGCATGCGTGTTCGAGATTTTAACTGTTGCATACCGTATTCCGAGAACGACGATATTGACAATCGTGAAAAATAAAGACGTTATTAAATCTGCTAACGTTGTGAANTTATAGTTGAGACTTAAAAAAAAAAAAAAACAAATGTATAATCAAACTTACTTCAGGTCCCCAACGTGGCTGTTTTGTTATCCAACATATTTCTGTTTGACAAACTGAACACTTTAACCAATCACATCCCCATCTTTTCATAACTATCACATTGCATTTGGGACAAAACATTGCTTTACCTTCTTGCACCATATTCTTAAAAAAATTATACAAGTTAAAAATTTTTTATTATTGTTATTTTATTTTCTATAAATTTAAAATTTTATACTTCAAGATATTCCTTAGTTTCTCGTGCTTCTTTGTCTCTTTCAGATCGATATGCTAATTCATCTTGATACTGTTTACAATTTAAACCTTCATGAATGGCTTGACAGGAGAGACAATTAACATGAAAACAAACAGGACAGTCAAATGTATTAATTGTGTCTTCATATACACACCAACCAGGACAATCTGGAGATTTACAATGAAAACTATTTTCTGTACAGCTTTCTGCTGTTACTAATCCACGCCGCAAATATCGTTCAAAAACTTCTGGTGACACTAACTGAAATTATGAAAATAAAATTTAGAAATGTATTAATATTTTATATAAATTATATGTACAGGATGATTCAAAAAGACTTTACAACTTTGAAAGAATATCAAATTTTAATCAGAAAACTTAACTGACAGAATTTATAGCAAAACACATCAAGTTTGTCTCAAATAGTGCAGAAATGTTGCATTGGATTGAGGAAGATGAGAACATTCCCTAGACACCTGTGATGAGTCAACATTTCAACTCAGTGGGAAAATGAACACACAAACTGCAGGATTGGAGTTTGAAAATTCACAAGTAACTGTAGAACATGATCATGATAGTCAAAAATTTGGTCTTATTTATTTTTGGTCTTTTTGCTAAAATAAAGTGTACAGCTGCTTCTTTATTCCATTAAAGAACTATCGATGATATCATGTATCTGAATTAAAGGAAAATTTTCTCATTCTACAGTCAGACAATAATGACATAAAAAGGACATATGCATTTTCAGCAAGATGGTACATCATTCCACTAATGTACAGATGTCCAGGATTTCCTCAAAACTGTTTTATTTTTTTTTAATTTTTAAATTGATACAAATAATGTCTTTCAGGACAAGAAAGAATTTCCCCTGAAAACAAGGCCTTGAATAAAACTAATAGACAACAACAATAAACATACAATGCATAAATATACAAAAAACATACCAAAAACAATCATAATAAGGAGTAAGAAAAAACTAAAAGTATATTTTCCAGGTTGGTGAATTGATCAAGTAGGGCTGATAGCTTGATCACTTTGTTCCTCAGATTTGATGCCTCTCAATTTTTTCTTCTTGGATTTCATTAAAGAGCTAGTGTTTATTCCATCCTTGCTTGCAAATAGTGCTGAGCTCCAAAACTTGAATCACTGTCACAGTTACTAACCTGAAAACAGATATATGTTGCTTTGAGTTTATCAAGAAATCAAATTCAGGTAATATGTTTGCTGTATCACCATCAATGAAGCTAACATCAAACCAAAATGACTGTTTAAGGTTAAATGTGATGTGCTTTGCTATAAATTAACACCTCAACTGATTTCGTAAGTCTTCTCATTACATGTTATATGCTTTCAAACTTATATTCTATTTGAATCACCTAATATATATATATATATATGTTATATTAAATAATTACTGCTTTAATTTCTCTTTCTTGAAGAATGCTATCACAGGAGTATTGATCATTTCTAAAAAGGCACTTAATAATTGCATTTTCTGTAAATTCAATGGCATTTGCTAAGCATTGCCTGGAAAATATAATTGAGATAAAATAATAAATTGCATTATTTATTTATTTTAAAAATTGCTTATGTTATATTTTACTTGCAAAACTGATGAAGGCAATCTCTTAAAACAACTCCTTCATTTGCTTTAACATCACTGAAACAAACAGAACATTCAAATGAATCAGCATTTGGTATCAAATCTTGATTATCAAGCTGAATAAGGAACTGGTAATTTTTTTCAGCTTCTTTTTTTAAATTCTCATATTTTTCATTCTAAAACGTAAATAGATATAATAAAATTATAGAATTGTTTTTACACGAATAAAACTATTAAATTTTATAAAGAAATGAAAAATTATAATTATATAATTATATTTACTATTTCATGATTTTCAGCCATCACATTAAGATTTCTGCAATGAGAATTTTCTGCTTTAGTATTTGATTTAGATTCTCTGCATGACTGACAAGACTCTAATATTCCACAAGTAGAACATACATCTGAAAATGCAAGTAAATTCTGTTATTTTGTGTACAGTGAAGCTTCTCTTAATTACTAACTTAATTTGTTTCATAATTTGTCTTTACCTTCATTTTCTTCAGGAATATTTGGGATATTTTCAAAATTAAACAAATGACTTTGTACATCTTCAAAGAATAAATTTTGATGCTGATTTTCTTCATTTGAAGAAGAATTATTATTTAATACATTAGATGCTTCACTTTCAGAACTTGGATACATTAAATATAAGAAAAGGGGACATCCTGCATCAGTTACATCATAATCAGATAATGTAATATCATCATCAATAACCAATCTCTTGTTTAATATCCATCTTTGAAATTCTTTAGGAATAGAATATTCTTTCTCTATCTAAACAAATAAAAATTTTAAATTATAAAAATCTAAGCTAAAAATTTAATGACTTAATAAAGACTTACTTTACTTTTCAACATTCCAAGAGTCATAAAAGAATGAATTTTTAATGGAAATGGCCCTTGATGAAGAAATTTATCTTCAATATAAAGGCTAACTCTGAAAGAAAGAATTATTTATAATCATGATAAATCATTTTTATTTTTGATTCTATTTTTATTACAGTTACATTTCTGCCAAAATATACTGCAGAAGCCATAAATTTTTTTAAACAAATTGATAATTTGATAATAATCTTTGTCTTTTTGATACTAAAAAATTATATTATAAACTTATATAATTTAGTTAAAATAATTTCATAAAAATAATTTTTTTAAATTAAATTAAAAAATAATTAATTATTAACAAACTTACATAATAAAGTTTTTATCATCATTTTCTTCAACTGAAAGTTCATTTAAAGAGCAGGAAGCTTTATGTATTGCTAATTTTTTTGCTAAAACTGCAGCTTTTTTATGTTGACCATTAGCAATAGCAGTTTCTAATTGTTTGAATAATGTTATTAGTTGAAATTTTTTGGACATAGACATAGCCTTATTAGATGAATGTAAAGAATCTAAAACATTCACAACTTTAATTAATATAAATATATGTTAATATATATAAAATTAAAATTTTATTAATTAATAAAAATACATTTAAGTGTAATCAAACAAACTGATAAATGGAATGCGTATATTAACATACCGTGTCGATAAGTTCTATTTGCTCTTAATTCTGGCAATGGTACTGCTAAGGTGGTTGACGTCTGAGGAGTTCTAATTTCCTGTGTTGGTCTGTAAAAATTGGCAGATGAACAAACTCCACTGTTGCTATTTTTGACATTCACCCCCAATTCTCCAAATAATGACTCAGTTTGTACATGAACAGAATTCAATTTCTTTTCTGGACATTTTTTCATTGAATAATTATTTTCAAAAGTATCTAATTCTGAAGTTTTATTAAATTTCTTATTAATAACAAATTTTTGCTTTTCTTCCAAAATGGATAAAGGTTTGTCTGATTTTATCTGACATTTTTTTCTATAATTATGCTGTAAACTAAATTCTTTTCCTTCTTTATTTTGATTAATTGTAGAGTCATCCAAAAATATATTACACAAAGGCTGTTTATCTTTATCAGTTTTATCCTTCTCTATTAACAAATTTAATTTTGGTTCTTTTGTAATATCAGATTTTATCTTCTCTTTTATATTATATTTATTTAATTTATTTTTTTCTTTAAAAATGTTTTCTTTTGCATCTACTTTAGATTTTTGATAATTATTCTTATTTTGACAATTATTTTCACTTTCTTTGAGTGATTCATGTTTTAAGTAATTTTTATCATTAACAAATGAATGTTTAGTAGTATGTAAATTCTCATTTGCATTTGTATAAGTCACAAAACATGCTTCAGGAGATGAAAATGTCACATAGTTCTCAGAAGTAATAGTAAATGGAAAAATAGTATTAGTGTTACTTAAAACTGCTTTATTATTATTATTATTATTATTACTAAATATCTTCTTTCTTATGTAGGAATCACTAGAATCTTTATTTCCTCTTTCTTTAAAACTATCATCACTTTTAGTAACTCCAGATTTAGTTTTGACATTAAAATCAGAATGTAAATGATTTGTAAATAAATTTGAAATGCTCATAGTATCATTTATTTTATATAAATCTGCTTCTTTTTCTTTATTTTGGTTTGTAAATCTATCAAACATGATGTTGGAAGAAAGTTTTTCTTCTTTTGCATGAGAATTGTCATTCTTAGCTTTTGTTTTCGTGCGATGATAAGATGATGATTGATAGAATAGTTTCCTAGATAAATCAGTTAAATTAACAACTTTACCTTTACTACACAAATTTATATTTTCTTCAGGGGATTTTATAAAATTCTGTTTTAATTCGCAGTATAAGTTTTCATTTTGACTTAATTTATTATATGATAAGTTTTGTTCTTGTTCTTCTAAAGAATATCCAAATAATGTTTTGGTATCATGAGGAACTTTTTTAACAGGTAGAATAGGTGGTGAAACTGAAACTTCTTCAGTTTTTCTGAAATTTGGATTATCAACCTGATTAACAATTTCTATATTTTTAAACATACTTTTATTAATTTCTTTTACTGGCTCAACTTTGTCTTCTAAAGATAATACATTGCTTTTGAAAATGTTCTCTACATTTTTATTACACTCTTCTTTATCACAGACAGAAATATTAATAGGTGGAGGTGGGGCGCGTCTCTTTTGGTACCTCATTGGTAAGGAACTTGTTTTACTTTTTAAGTCTGGAGAATGAAGAATATTTACTTTATCAGTACTTTTTGAAATATTGAGTGTGTTGGATTTACAATTTCTAAGAATAGTATCTTCTTTATGTAAATTATTATCTGATTTACTTAATTGGTTATAATATTCAGATTTAACTTGCTTTTTCAAAAGTAATGGAGAGGGAGGTGGTGGTATAGGTGGAGGAACTTTTTTCTTTTCAATCTTAGTATTTATACCTTCAACTGGTTTATATTTATTTAATAATTTTTTATGTTCTAAATTTATTTTTTTAATTTTTTTTCTTTTATGGTACTTAGAGCTCGGAATAAAGCAACTCATTAACATTTGCAATCCACTTTTGGTATCTGAATCACTTTCACTACTGCTGGATATGTCATACTTCACCGAAAACATTTCTGGACAACTTTCTACTGAATAACTTTTATTTTGAAGCCTATTGTTATTCTCTTCAGCTTCATCTTCAGACCACTGTCCAAATTTTGGTACTCGATGTTTCAAATGAACAGATTTAACTTTTTGACTTTTACTTAGTATGGGTTTATTTCCGTTTTTCTGATAAACAAAATATCAAACAAATAATATTTTATTTTAAATTTAAAGTAAATTAAAAATAAAATATTAAAAAAATTCATTCCAATAAAAATGAATATTGTATGAGTAAAACAGGCATGTTAGTATATGCATCACATTACTTTTATGACTGTTATTTTGGGACATGCTGATTAAAAAAATATATATACTATATTTACATTTAAAATAAATTATTATATAAATTTCCATCTTTACTACTATTCTGTAAATATATAATGATCATGCTGTATCTAATTCATAATTAGATTCATCAGCATCAATTTTAACTATTACAATGTTAGGATAATCATGTAAATTTTTTACAAATATATTTTTACTTTATAGATTTCATTTAGTATAAAAAAATGCCAAGTGTAAATAATTTAACATAGAAATATTTCTATTGTATTTATTAGTAGTGTAGCATATAAGCATAATTTTACAATACATAAATTTTATGAATGTTACTTCTTTTATCAATTATCTTTTATGACTGTTAATTACTTTTATGATTGTCAAATTTTGGGACATGCTGATTAAAAAATATATATATACCATATTTACTCACATATAAGACAAGGTTTTTATTCATTTTTCACTAGGTCGTCCTATACGTGTGTGCGAAGAATTCTTTGCGCTTTTGAAATAATTTTTGTGAATTGTGTATTTGCATTTTTTACAAGATGCTCACCCTCTGTTGTTTAAAAACAAAAGTATTTTATCTGAGTTGTTTAAATCCTTCTTGTGTATTGTCAGGAGTAAAGATGAATAGCAATAGAAAAAGCAAAGCTTTTGAATTAAATTCCAAAACCATATGGAAGCCCATTGTTTTTATCCATTCCCATGTGAAAACACAGATGATTATTCAGAAATCAGAATTCAGAGAAACTCATAAGTGTAATTGACGGAGAGTGGATTCAACTGTTAATAATTGGCATAAAAGGTTTCCAATTGTCCAGCTTTACATGAAGAAACTTATGTTGTCAATTTCACAAGATTTTTCCTTGAAGTTTAAAATGCCAGTAATTTCTGTGAGTCAATGTGTGCATTAATGTGCATTTGATATTTTATTTGTGATTAAACGAAATAAAATTAGAATTGTATTAATAAATCTAATTTTCTTTATTTTGATCTTTAAAGTCATACCTTGTCCTTTATTCAAGATCGTCTTATAAGCAAGTAAATACAGTATTATATTATACTAATACTGAATTCCATTAAATTCAAATTACCTCCTTACTGACTATTTAAAAAAAATAGTTATTTCATAAAACCTTTAATGTTACATAAATAATTTACTGTATTGAAAAAACTATATAAATATAATTAATAAAAATTTTCTACTACTGTTGACTTGATAACTTGAGATGAGAGAGAGAGAGAAGAATTTGAGTTAACAAAATGTTACTGAAATTACTATTACTGTAATGAGTTCATAATTATTATGATTCAAATGATACAATTAGACTTAAATAATTAAATGATATAGTTAGACTTATAGATACAAAAACTGCATTGAATTTATAATTGTTACAACTAGACAAAAATAAAATTCAACCTATGAAAAGATTTGACTTAACAAAGTTCAAATTATTGAGAACCAACTATACAAAGATACAATCAAAAAATGCTAGCAAAGAAATAAACTTGACTGCTAATATAAGACAACTGGAAAAATTTCTAATTTAAAGTACCAGTATACCTAACCCTTGATTTGCACAGTAATCAAATAATGCAGTTTTGATTTAACATGATATTTTAAAATATTTTTCACTATTTTATTTTCAATAATTTTATTTTAAACTTTAGTATTTTAACATTAATGTTTATGCCCATGCAAATTATTATGACATTGCAATTGTGTTGTCATTACTTTCAATTTTCAATGTTTTAAGATGGAATTCCCCATTTTCTATTATGTCTAGACTTCACATATATTGCATTGAACAGAGTTCTATAAAAGTAAATTTAATTATATAAAAAATTATTAAAAGTATTATAGAATTATATATAAAACAAAACAAGTTTTGCTAACAGATTTTTTGAAATAAGACTATATTTACATCTTCAGTAAAACAAATTTAAAAAAAGAAATCAAAGATGTTAGTAAAAAAAGTGGAAGATTTCATCTAATAAAAAATAAAAAAATTGTTTCTTTATCAACAATTGAAGAAAAACAGAATAAAATTTCATTTTCATTAATTTTATGTTTATTTATTAATAAAGCTTAAAGACTGTTTTGTATATAAAGTTGCTAATTTTGTGAAAATACAACATCTAATAATGTGAAACCACTCTGGTCCCATAAGTGCTGGATTAATGAACTTCTACTATATAATGCTTAGCTTTTTTATTATTATATTTATTGTGATATTCAAAAATTTTTAATGCAACTTTTTATTTATCTTGCAGCTGAAACTAGACAAATATCAGAAATTAATAGAATATTCATATATCAGGATGATTATTATACTCTTTCCCAAATAAGAATGAAGCTGCAGTTGATGCTTATTAGTGTACATATGCAAATTAAAATAGTTCTGTGTTCATTACAAATTAGAACATAACATATATACAGACATATATTGGAAATTTTTAAGATTATGAAAACAAAAAAAAAGTCACATGGTGTTATATATCATGGCATTTGAATTTTCAAAGTGCTCTATTTTATTCAACTTTGTTTACGACTTCATTTCTTAGCTATAATGGTGAGCTGTTACACATTCAAGATCTAGGACATTGGCTACATTCCTATTCTGAGAAATACTATAGATATAATTATGTTTTGCTGTTAAATTTTTTTTTTGCAAGTATGTTAAGAATTATTTGTTATAATCTATTCTATTAACCACAGAATTGTATGTCTTTGTCTTTTTTAGATATAATGAAACTATATCTATATTTAAACAAATATGTTAGCTAAAAAAGATCTTATCTTGTATTATAAAGAGAAATTTTCTAGTGTGCTTACAGCTAAAGTTTTAATATTGTATAAATTAATAAACTAATATTAATTTTATCAAAAATTAATAACCTATTGTTGAAAATTTATTAGTTCTAAAACTTCTGGTATATAAATAATGTTATAATCTAAAATAATATCTATTAATAGTATAATAAAGCTTTATTGGCATCATTCACTGACTCATGAAATGTTTGAGTACAACCACTCTTCTTGCAGTTGAAAGGGAATATCAAATACATTACAAGAGAAATCAAATCTTAAGAAAGTCAAATACTTTATTGCTAAAAGGTATCAAAGTTCAACCCTTGATATCTTGCAGAATACAGTAATGTCTGAGTAATCAATAAATTTAAGTATCATCTATCTACTCTAAAAAATGTTTAATATTATTATTAATTTACTCATTTTAGTAATTCTAAAACTTTTTAAACCATATTTTATAATTAAAAGCTTTTTTTTTGTAATTAGATAAAAATTATTTTTACTATTTTCACACAAAATTTTTCAGTAAATGTATTGATTAATTCAAGATTTGACATAACAATTTATTTTTTAAAAATATATTTCAAAACCTGTTTTTCTATCTCTAATAATTAAAATGAAATGAAAATTTAAAATATATTTTATAATTTTTTTAATAAATGCCAGAAGTTTAATTTAAAAAATCCTTCTAATATAAAAACAAATAAGTCTATACATATATTATTAATATCATTGTTATTACTGATATGATTTTAATGATTTGTTCATATTCTGATATTAAACCAAGTTAATTTATTTTGCCAAAGCAAAGCCAGAATTAAGTAGATTAAAATTATATAAAAAGTATAACAAAGTTTATTTACAATAAATTGAGACTAGTTATATTACTGTAAACATAATACTTACAAATTCAAGATTCCCAGAATCAATATTTTTTGTAGAATATTGACAATTTAATAAGTGAAAAGTAGAATCTGAAATAAAAAACATTATATTTAATATATTTAAAATTATTGAAACAACTATAGCCTACATAAAATTTATAAACAAACTATGTAAAAATTTTAAACCTTACATAAAATATTTAATTTAATAATCAAAATGTAAATAAATTTAATTGTATACAATATGATCATTCATTAAACAAAAACTGTTTGGTTAAGAACATGCATTATTTATGAAATGGCTTCAAGTGCAGGTCATTTTCAGCATACATATAAATCAAATTAAAATAATGAAATAGAATCTATTTATTAAAAAGATTATTCTATTTCATTTATTCAAATAAACAAAAATCATGCATTTTTAATGAAGGAAGAAATTTCAATAAGAGTTCAGATATTTAATTTTTAAAAATTGTTCAAACATTATTATTAATTATTGAAAACATTTATTTATATAAATTTGTAATTATAACTAAACAATTATTTATATAAATAATTGGAATAATCATATGATAATTTTCTTACAAGAAATTTTCTTCTTTCATAAAGCTCTTTAAAAATATTTTTAATATTCTCTATGTAAACTGAAATAAAATTCCAATATTCAGAATATTAAAAAATTTCTTAGACAGTTTCACAGTTTCATATTCCAAAAGTTTACTGAAATAACTTATTACTAAATTTTAATTGAAAACAATAGCATCAAGCATCAAATATAAAGGCAATGAAGAATTGAATCAAGATGATTGAATCACTGTAAGTAATAAATTTTATATAATATACAGTATATAATAAATAATATTTTAATAATTTCAACATTCTTCCCAACATATAATAACAAGTAAAATGGCAAAGCCATTCTTGGGACAAGACTATGTCTCGGAGAGCGTGAGCAATGCATGTGCAAATCTCACACTTGCGCCAACGCAAATAATTTCACCATATCTTTATTTGTTTGCTGTAAAACTAATCGGCTGCTATGCTCGCTGTGTTGGCTTGTAAATCCCCAATAGCTTTTTCAACTTTTGTAGAAACAGTCTCAACATTTTATATTATATTTTGACCCGGTTCTTGGTCCCCTGACTACCTACAAGTCTGGTTTATTTTATGTGAACATGATTTGGGCACCAAATATTCTGTGCCAAATTGCAACTCCTGACATGTACTCCTTCATACCTCTAAGGTGTGCCTCTAAGGTACCTCTAAATTTTAGTTGGTTGACCAGTAATGTTAGCTGTTTGCTACTGCAAATTTTCTTATGAACCTCAATTATGATAATAAAGCAAAACCTATACCATAACATTAAATAGCAACTAATTCATAGGCTGATTACCTTTAAAAAATAATAATAATAAACACAATAAACATGTTTTTACATGTTAAAACATGATTGGATGAACTGTACATAAGGTATATACATAAAGGTAAGTATTAAGGATGCACCGATTAATCGGCAAGTAATCGGTAATCGGCCGTATCGGCCACTTAGCCGATTAATCGGTATCGGCCATTTCCACCGATTAATCGGTTTCGATAATCGGCCAATTTTACATTTTGGTATTTTTGTTAGAATGTTACATACAATGCTAGTAATAAAAACTAATAAATTTCTGTTATATATTTATTATTTATTACATGACAATCTGAATATTAAAAAAATTTTACTAATCAAATTATTCCTTTCATCAATACATATTATAAGTATAACATAACGTATAATATAAAGTTTAAACTTTACATAAGAAAAAGTATTGAATAGGTTAAGAAGAAAAATTAAATTTTTATTTGTTTCATAAGTTTAAAGTTTAAATACAAAACAAATATAAAACAAATAAAAATTTAATATTTAAACTGTAAAACCCTTAAATTACAATTTAAGGGTTTTACAGTTTGTTTTTACAATGCAAAAACATGAGAATTTCATCATTTTCAGGGCATAACCTATTTTTTGCCGGCTCATAAATGTTACCTTCAGTGCTGAAAATTTTTTCACTTTCAATGGAAGATGCTGAGGCACTTAAATATTTCATAGCTATTTTGCTCAAATTAGGGATAAATGTAAATATGTTTCTAATTCTTGATCGAAACGTTTGTTCGTCTCTTTCTTTTTTTTTTCTTTCTTTTTAAAAACATGCTATTCTTCATTCTTTCGTTTACCAGAAGCTAATTCATCAAATAAATCAGAAAAACTTAGAAATTCACCTCCATCTTGATCACCTCCAGAAGTAGAAGCTTCAGAATTTAATTCTTATTGAGATTTCCTCTAGCATATCCTCTTTTTGAAATTTCATTTTGAATCTAATAAAAATGACAAGCATAAAGACTTGTTTTCTATATATGCTGAAAATTTTTTTTTATTGGATTTTCTAGTTCTTCTGTTGTGGTATTAATGCCACTAAAGGAACTACTGATCTTTGCTTTTGATAAGAATAATTTCAGAGTCTCTATTGTGGGAATTATTGAAGATGAAGTGGCTTCTCGTTTGCTGGCTTTCCACAGTAATTTCTTTGAATGGTTTTACAAGTAGAACAATTTTTTCAACGAGAGACCACTGATATGGGCTCAACGTAGGAATTTTATTATCTATAGCATATGTGACAAGGGCCTTTTGCTGTTCCAACATGTAGTATGTAGAATTCCAGCGAGTAGGAACATCTTGAATTAATTTGTGTTTCTGCAAACCTAACTTTTCTTGCAAATCTTCTAATTTGATTACAGCTACAGCAGAATGATTAAAATGTGTGACAATATTTCTATTAACTGTGATTATAGTTTTCACATCTTGTTTAGAAAATATGCATTCGTTTAGTGTCAGCTGCAGCGTATGATAATGCTTCTAAGTTGCAATTCCTAATTCCAGCTACCAGATTTGCTGCAGAATCTCTTAGTACTAAGAATATCTTATCACTTGTCAACTTATACTGTTCAAGAACAATTTTTAACTGTTCACTGATTCGTGTAGCTGTGTGGGAACCTTCAAAGGAAACAATTTGCAAAACAGCTCTTTCCTGCTGAAAATCATCCTTCAACCAGTGAGCTGTTACACTTAAAAAAGGAGAATTGTTTGTAGTTGCTGTCCAAATATCAGCGGTTAAAGAAATATATTTTGTTTCTGTTAAACACAAAAACACTTCAGCTTTTTAAACATGCGTCAACAATTAAGTGTTGAGATTTATTTTAGAAACAAAGGAAGAGATTGTTTATTTTGCGAGGATATTCGATCGTCTCTTGTTTACCTGACCTCAGGGAGATGGAAATACCAGGTGGAGAAAAATGGGTTTTTCCACATTATAATTAACTGTATAATTAACTCCAGGATCTCACACTATTAATGCAATAAATTATTAACACTAATCGGCCGATTAATCGGTATCGGCTGATAATGCATGGCCGATTAATCGGTAATCGGTAATCGGTCATTTTGCTTATTGGTGCATCCTTAGTAAGTATAGTACAATATACATACCTTAGGGAGAACACTGAATTTGATTACCATTACACATTACAATAATTAATATAATATTGTAATGACTTAATAATCATTGTTATTCTTCAAATTCCCTAAATTTTTTATTAATTTTTAAATTAATTATTAAAAATTTCAAAATAAAATTTAAAGTTAATCTACAAAATGATTAATTTTTAATTTGTGTTATATTAATAAACAGCATTTAATATACTATAAAAAATAGCAGAAACCTTATAAAAAAATTTTAGTCATTTAAAAATTTTTGAATGATTTGGTTAAAAATGTAGAAGGAGTATCTCAAAGAATTCATTAACAAAATTCTAATAAATTTATCCAGATCTTAAGCTGAAGATATCAGTAAAGAAAAAGTAAAATCACAGAATAATTCAAATATCTTTAATGCTAATTTTAACATCTTTAAACCTTTAAAATTAAAATACATTTAAAACATTTAAAAAAAGAAATTTGAGAAATGTCAAAATTATTTTATCATCATATGTAAAAGATGAAAAAGATTCAAATAGATCAATTTTATATTTTGCACATTCAAATCAGTAATGAGTGAGACTATTCTTATTATATCATTTATATTTTTTGTATTTAAAATTTGTTAGTCATTAAATCTCATATGTAAAAACTTATTTAAAAAAATATTTATTGATATGAATAATATACAAAAATATAAAAAAGTTTAATTTAGAAAATTTTAAAATACCTGAACTGAATTTATCATCAACTTTATTCAATAGATTGACAGGTATAAAGCATACATGGTTATTTTTTCCATAAAAATATCTTTTAAAACCAATTTTACCATCTCCATAGCCAATGGGGTTATCCTAAAATTAATAAAATTATTATTTTATCTAAAAGTGTATTTGAAATTACTTTTTCTAAATTTAATCATTTATCAGTTAAAATAGTCATAAAAACTATACAAATTTCTTGATTAAATATTTTATTTATTTATGTTCTTTACAAATGGAATTGTCATGTACTGTATATGACAAAAGATTTCCACCTCCAACTAACAGTATGACCCAGATACATAAATTTTAATATATAATAATAATAAAAATAAAAAAAAACAATAGGACAAAAATATTAAACACTAAGAATTCTAAAGTATTTGTTTATAAACATCTTTAAAATGACTAAAAACTTCATGTAATAAATTTTCAAATTCTATCATATGAAAGATGTGATAAAAGTATTATCTTTGAGAAATGCTTAGTCTATAAAAGGGAGTAAAAACATATGATGTGTTATGTAAGTTCCATTGAGGAGTTTTTAAACATAGCCAATCCAACTGTATTTCCGACCAAATGATTGCCTTAAACATTAAATCTACTATTATTAACGATTAGAAACTAAGTAATATTAAGAAATAGCAGATTTATATCCTGATTGAGGTGATCATTTGGTTGAGTATCTATGTATTGAGCTTCGGGATGTTTAGTATATTCATATGTTTCTGTTAAAATATTTATGGAAGTGCAAACGGTCAAAGTGTTTGACACACTCTTTAAAACTTGGAAGACCAAGTCTGGATCTGGCGATGTTTGAATGATAAGTATGGGGAGATTGCAGAGTAAATTTATAGTTAAATAAATTTTGTCAAGTTCTTTTGTGATTTTATTTAAAAGAGAGGGAGCAACCATGGCCCAAATTGATAAATCATAATATACAATTTATTATACAAAAATATGTATAATATTAAGATTGTATTTATTCAATAACTTTCACATGTTCATATATATTCTAATGCTATATAATGAAAGCCAACATAATTTCCAATTTATTGGGAATTATGAAAGTAAGTATTTTTGATAGCTTAATAACATTTAATTTTACTTATAAATTTTCGGTTTATTTTTTTAAATGCATTTCAAAATTTTTTAAAATGAACTTATTTTTCATGATTATTGATTAATTCACACCAGGACTGTGGAGTTGGTAAAAAAACACTTGACTCCGACTCCTGATAATTTTAGTATGCTGACTCCAACTACTCTGGCTCTGGCAAAATTAAATACCAAGTCATTTATCGGGGGCAGAGGCACTCATAGGGGGTACCCTGTAAAGTACTATATTATTTTTCTGCCCTCTACAACGATTATCGACACAACTGTGTGCCGGAAACAGCTGTTACCTAACGGGTACTTTATGCGGATTCGCGTTAATGTGCCAGGCCTGGACTTTAAGCGTGCACCGAATTAAATAATGACAAAGTTAGTCAAAAACAATCCAATATTTAATAAAAATTCTAGTAATAACTATATACAAAATTTAATAAAAATCAAATAACAATTTATTCAATGTAAATCAATAAGAATCAACCCGACAAAACTCAAATCAATCTATTTTCTAACTTAAATCTATTCCCCTTTGGAACTTGACAAAAAATTCAAAGACTTAACTTATGTACAATAATTCTTATGAATTAAAGGTCCTAATCGTCACCTCGATATACTAGAAACCTTTTTCCTCACTCTCAAGACTTTCTCTAATCTTTGATCCACAAATCGAATAACTTCAAAATCGCCTTGGAACTACTTTATCCTATCAGACACCTCTCTCTCATTTGCTGATACGAAGCTCACCACACTTGTTGCTAACAGAAGCTCACCTCTATCATCTTCACTTGAGGTTCGGTCTTTATACTGTGAGGTGACATCACAATTCTGAGTGAGATCACTCCCCTCATTTACATACTTATTGCTAACAATAACTTTTCCTGTTTGCCTGGCAGCCTATTTTCCAACAATACTCTGTAACCTTTTACATTATTCTTTTTGACAATTTTCAGGATGTTTTATTCTTTAAGGTTTAGCAAGTTCCTAAATTGTGCTTGTGGGGTCTTCACCCTTTTTCTCAGTGCAGACTTACTTTTTTCCACTCAGGAGCGCAAGTGTGCATGAGTTTTATCTACGGCACTTTTCTCTCGTCGGCGAGTTGGTTTCTCTTCTATTTTTAAGTTTCTAAGGTGTGTGGTGAGGAAACCTTCATCCTAACAAAACATAAGTCCCAAACAAAAATAGAATAAAAAGCAAAAATAAAAGTAAATAAAAATAATGCTCAGACTTGGTTCCTTACACCCCTACTCTGAACTCTGAAAGGAGCCCAGAGCATTTACTCAAATACTTTTATAATTAGTATTTTTAATATTTAACTTGCATTCATATTTATTTGTATAAAAAAATTAATTTTTAACAAATATTTAATAAGAGGAGAAAGGGGGCAATAAATCTACATCTACATATCTTTATTCTACACTATTTGCACTTTAATTTCACCCTTTCAGAAAAGTTGTTCAACTAAAAAGTATGTGATTAGCTACTTCAGCACTTGTTCAGAAAAGGAAAATACATACTCTGATCAATTAGTCTGGCTCATTCAGAAAAATAGAGTACGTATTTAGAGCAGGGATAATAAAGGAATGATTCAACTCTTCAGAATTATAACAAAATACAAAAACATTTTAAAAAACTAATAAATATAAAATCCATTTTTTTTCATTTAAATAAAAAAAACTAAATTAAATTTAAAATGCCTGAGTCGGAGTCAGAGTTGACACATTTTTCCCAACTCTTACTCCTCTGGCAAGAAATTCCTCCCGATTCCGACTCCACAGCCCTGGTTCACACTAATAATTAATCAAATACCAAAAATGCAAATTTAATGTATAAACTTTTATTTATATCCATTTTAATGAAAAAAGAAAAATTATAAGATAAAAAAATTATAAAATTATGTATGAAAAATGTACAAGGTAATTCAGCTAAGCAAATACAAACATCTGGGAGGGATAAATTGCACAAAGACAAATCGGAATCATATAACAATGCCAGGTTGGTAATACCATCTTCATGTGCTAATGTACAGAGAGGATGCGAAATGAAATGCTTTTTATTACTCACAAGACATTTGCAAAATGCATTGAGGTTACATAAGATGTTTAAAGTTGCAACCATGAACTGTAACACATGCTTGACAACATTGGTGCACAAAACCACATACATTTTGGAAAATTCCTGGCATGTCTTAGATTTCTGAAGCAGTTACAGAGATGCATGCTACTAGGTCCTCATCATGCTGGAACCATATTGCATGGTGTAGTGATTGTGGAATCTGTTTGTGCAATAGCTCTGACAAGACATTCCCCCAGAAATATCTGATAATGTCATTTATCACTTGAAGATGGTGTTTTTGACCCAGCATTGCTATATGATTCCAATTTGTCTTTGTGCAACCTACTCCTCCTAGAAGTTTGTACACACTTAGCTGAATTACTCTGTATATTAAACCTTATATTTTCAGCTTTAATTGTTTAACCAGAAATGCTGCATAATTATTTTATTCAGTATTTTATTAATATAAAAATCATAATTTTTATATTATATTTTATATTATATTTGGCTTAATATAAAAATCATAATTTTTATATTAAGCCAAAACCAAATAATTTTTAAGATTTGCTCATGATTTATAAAGCATGGTATATATATGTACGTACACACACATTATTTCTTTTACAAAATTCTTTAAAATGAAATATACAAAACACAAAAAAAATTTTGTGTTCATATTTTAGGAATTTAAGTGCATAAAGCAAATGACAATAGAGTGGAAGTTAATTCTTTGATTTACTTGTATTTTAATTGAAAAGTGTAGTGGTTTATTCAATAAAATGTTTTTATATATTATAAAAGAATAGAAATAGAAATATATAGCAACTGTATAAAAATTCTGTATTAATCTGTTTCTGTATTATTTCTAACAATAAAAACAAAATTTATCTCAAAACAAGAAATATTTTAAAATCCTATTTAACTTTTTAAGAATTCCTGAAAAACATTTTCAAGTATAACAAACATTGCAAAGCCTGATAAGTACAGTAAGACCCCGCTTAACACTAATTTGATATAACACAGTCTACTCAAAGCCTAAAAAAAAGCTCAAAATTTACACACTGATTTAAATTATTGCAGCATTTCATTGATTCATATATAATACAATTATTTACAAACACAAACCAATCAGAAAAAGGTGTACTTTCTTTAAATCTATGTTTGTTTAGTGCAATTTTGAAAAAATATATATCATGGATGCCATAAGCAATATAGACTTTGCTTGGCAAGAATAACCACAAACGGAGTGTGGAAGTTATGGCTGAAGGTATCCAAGAATTCTCAACGAGAAGAGCCTATCATTGTATCGTTGTACCAAATTTTCAATCTAATCAATACAGCAGGACTAGGAGATATAGACAATCAGGATATTGAGGAGTTACTGAAGGTTTCTGGCAAGAGCCTTGCCAATGATGACCTCCAAGAACTGGCAGAACAAGGAATTTGTATAGAACTGGAAAATAGATATTCGGAAAACAAAGAACCCAATGAATTTCTCTACAGATTTCCTTAGTAAAAGTTTGGTAATGATAACCGAAATTGTTGATCAAATTGTAGCAAACAATTCAGATTTTGAAAGGAGTGAAAAAGCAAAACGAGGAATTTTGGATGTGATCTTCTGCTACCAGTATTTGCTTAAGGAGGAAAAAAAAAGCGACAAATGAAACTTCACGACTTTATTGCAAAAAAACAGAAATTTCAGAAAAGTCAGGACTTTCATCACAAAAAATGAACTACATTTCTCTGTGCATATGTTTATGTGTTATTTAACATATATTATTATATATAACTCCTGTCCACATTCAGCCAGAATGATATTTTTTATTTGCTTATGCTATTTTACGTTCTATCCCAAATAAGTTAGGAGGTGTCTTAGCTTTAGTTTTATCTGTGTTAATTTTACTGTCTTTAAGACTTATAGGAAAGTCTGTAAGCTCTCTCTCTTTTAGCTTATATGGACGAATTCTCTTCTGATTTTTTGTGTGTTTTTTCTTCTTTTAACTTGAATTGGAGCTTGTCCTGTTGAGTTTCCCTACATTTTAATTGGTCAAGTTCTTTCTATTCTTTATTTTTCATTTTTTATTATATTTTGATTTAAATAGTTATTTACCTAATGCAAGCTTTTGCTTTGAAAGCAAAGAATAGGAGTTCTCTTAATAACTTTTCTTAAAATGATACTTAATAAGAAATGAGAAACATCTTCATAGCTAGAATAATTAACGTATAATTTAAAGCCAAAGGAAGATATATTTTTCAAGCTAAGCTTATTAATTTATCATATTGAAAGCAGGGATATCTCCCCCAAACCCATATAAAAAGAAAAGAGAATGATAATACCTTAAAAGTAATAAAAACTGGTCCAAAAAATAAAATAGATGTTACCATTCTTATCAAAATAATATTTGCATATTCAGCCATAAAAATCAAAGCAAAACTTGCTCTTATATATTCAACATTAAACCCAGAAAGTAACTCGGATTCCCGTTCTGTAAAATCAAAAGGAGTCTGGTTAGTTTCTGCTAAACAAGAAGAAAATCAAACAGCTAAGAGCGGAAGTATAAATATTCCAATAGAACTAAATAGTTGATAATTATTAATTTCTTTTAGACTGAACGAAGAAACAAGGAGAAGAACAGAAAATAAAATGAATGCAAAGCTTACTTCATAAGAGATAGTTTGAGCAACCCCTCGATATGCCCCTAAAATAGCATACTTAGAATTTGAGGCTCAACCAGCAACTAAAATTGAATAAACTCTTACTCTCGAACAACATAGAAAGAAAAGAACCCCCCCATTTTAAATCTATAAAATGGAACAAAGAAGGATATAATATCCACAAAATAAGTGCTATAGATAACCCAAAAATAGGTGAAAATAAAAAAGGGTAAAGATTATAAGTCTATAAATTAGCTAATTCTTTAACAAATAATTTAATAAATTAATATAAAAATAACTTAAAATTAAAGTAAAATTTTTTTATTTTTGGTCACGTGTTCCCCTATCCCTGTTTACTCTACATTAAAATTACCTCGTTTAATGCTGTTTCATTTAGCGCTTTATCATCTAGGAACGCATCCCCCACATTAAGTGTGATCTTACTGTATATAAAAACATCCAATGATTGCCTAAATGATTGGGCTACAATTCTGCTAATTTTAAATAATTAAAACAAAGTAATTTGCTACTAGAGGTAGACTTTACGCACCATCTCTTAACTAAATTAATAATTATAATTTTCAAAATATATATAAATGGTTTGCTGTATAATAGTTAATATGACGATTTTAGTCTCTGTAATCCAAATATTCTTGGTAGACAAATCTCACAGCAATCTTATTGGCAAATTAAATTTATTTTGTAAAGACTACATCAAATGCATTTCGGGCTGGTCTAATATTTTCCAGTCCCTCTTCAGTGCTAAAATAATAACAAAGAACGTAAAATGTTTAACTAAAACACGACATAGATGTATATCTACACCAAAATTATAAATTTTGGAGAAAAACTTACAATAACCGCTGGTGGTAATTACAATGATATTTCCATGGGTAGGGGTGGTAAACTTTGTACACATTTGTAAGAATCCTAAAATTACAATTATCTTTTTTTGTATAAAACAATATAAGGCTAATACAAATAATATCTTAAACAATACTTATACTTACAAGTTTAAAAAACTTTTCCACACACGTGTATAATAAACATACTAAAACCAACCAATTATTAAAAAATTCTTTGACAAACAATTGTATAGATAATTCCAAAGCACTACAAATTTTTAACCTCATTAGCATCAGTATACAATCAACACTTCACAACAGTAATCAAGTGATGACGTCTTAATACATAACCATTTATTTTATTCTAGCGCCATCTATCAGATTATACCAGCTATAATTTATTTCCATCCCTTTCGACTGATTTATTAAATTATTATTATTTTGTTTTCTAATTTCTATATGTTCTTTGAATTTTCTTTTATAAATATCTTTTTCAATATGTAAAATTTTTACATTGTTTCTATTAATATTACAATTATTACTATTGATGTGGTTAAACCACGGAGAATTATTATACTTAAGCCGAATGGCTGCTTCGTGTTCTTTAACTCTAGTTTCTAGTACACGCCTGGATGGCGCTAGAATAAAATAAATGGTTATGTATTAAGACGTCATCACTTGATTACTGTTGTGAAGTGTTGATTGTATACTGATGCTAATGATGTTAAAAATTTGTAGTGCTTTGGAATTATCTATACAATTGTTTGTCAAAGAATTTTTTAATAATTGGTTGGTTTTAGTATGTTTATTATACACGTGTGTGGAAAAGTTTCTTAAACTTGTAAGTATAAGTATTGTTTAAGATATTACTTGTATTAGCCTTATATTGTTTTGTACAAAAAAAGATAATTGTAATTTTAGGATTCCTACAAATGTGTGCAAAGTTTACCACCCCTACCCATGGAAATATCATTGTAATTACCACCAGCGGTTATTGTAAGTTTTTCTCCAAAATTTATAATTTTGGTGTAGATATACATCTATGTCGTGTTTTAGTTAAACATTTTACGTTCTTTGTTATTATTTTAGCACTGAAGAGGGACTGGAAAATATTAGACCAGCCCGAAATGCATTTGATGTAGTCTTTACAAAATAAATTTAATTTGCCAATAAGATTGCTGTGAGATTTGTCTACCAAGAATATTTGGATTACAGAGACTAAAATCGTCATATTAATTATAATTTTTATAATTGTATCCTGATCATTTAGGCGATTGTTGGATATTTCTGAACATTTTCAAGTATCTCTCACTAACTTCTTCAGTGTAACAGTTACTCATTCCATAATTAATATACTAGATATAAGGAATAAAACAGATCATGTTAACATATAATTTAAAACTTACAAATTCAATTCCTGCAACTAAATTTTTGGAAATTGCTGAAATGTACCCTAGCCATCGAATAGTTCCAATTTCCAAGATATTATTTCTTTTCCACTTTATTCTATCTCCACAAGACCAACTTAAACATGGAAGTTCATCATTTGATGAAGATAAACTTTCTTTTTCTTAAAAAAAAAAAAAAAAAAAAACAACTGNTCATAAAAACTATACAAATTTCTTGATTAAATATTTTATTTATTTATGTTCTTTACAAATGGAATTGTCATGTACTGTATATGACAAAAGATTTCCACCTCCAACTAACAGTATGACCCAGATACATAAATTTTAATATATAATAATAATAAAAATAAAAAAAAACAATAGGACAAAAATATTAAACACTAAGAATTCTAAAGTATTTGTTTATAAACATCTTTAAAATGACTAAAAACTTCATGTAATAAATTTTCAAATTCTATCATATGAAAGATGTGATAAAAGTATTATCTTTGAGAAATGCTTAGTCTATAAAAGGGAGTAAAAACATATGATGTGTTATGTAAGTTCCATTGAGGAGTTTTTAAACATAGCCAATCCAACTGTATTTCCGACCAAATGATTGCCTTAAACATTAAATCTACTATTATTAACGATTAGAAACTAAGTAATATTAAGAAATAGCAGATTTATATCCTGATTGAGGTGATCATTTGGTTGAGTATCTATGTATTGAGCTTCGGGATGTTTAGTATATTCATATGTTTCTGTTAAAATATTTATGGAAGTGCAAACGGTCAAAGTGTTTGACACACTCTTTAAAACTTGGAAGACCAAGTCTGGATCTGGCGATGTTTGAATGATAAGTATGGGGAGATTGCAGAGTAAATTTATAGTTAAATAAATTTTGTCAAGTTCTTTTGTGATTTTATTTAAAAGAGAGGGAGCAACCATGGCCCAAATTGATAAATCATAATATACAATTTATTATACAAAAATATGTATAATATTAAGATTGTATTTATTCAATAACTTTCACATGTTCATATATATTCTAATGCTATATAATGAAAGCCAACATAATTTCCAATTTATTGGGAATTATGAAAGTAAGTATTTTTGATAGCTTAATAACATTTAATTTTACTTATAAATTTTCGGTTTATTTTTTTAAATGCATTTCAAAATTTTTTAAAATGAACTTATTTTTCATGATTATTGATTAATTCACACCAGGACTGTGGAGTTGGTAAAAAAACACTTGACTCCGACTCCTGATAATTTTAGTATGCTGACTCCAACTACTCTGGCTCTGGCAAAATTAAATACCAAGTCATTTATCGGGGGCAGAGGCACTCATAGGGGGTACCCTGTAAAGTACTATATTATTTTTCTGCCCTCTACAACGATTATCGACACAACTGTGTGCCGGAAACAGCTGTTACCTAACGGGTACTTTATGCGGATTCGCGTTAATGTGCCAGGCCTGGACTTTAAGCGTGCACCGAATTAAATAATGACAAAGTTAGTCAAAAACAATCCAATATTTAATAAAAATTCTAGTAATAACTATATACAAAATTTAATAAAAATCAAATAACAATTTATTCAATGTAAATCAATAAGAATCAACCCGACAAAACTCAAATCAATCTATTTTCTAACTTAAATCTATTCCCCTTTGGAACTTGACAAAAAATTCAAAGACTTAACTTATGTACAATAATTCTTATGAATTAAAGGTCCTAATCGTCACCTCGATATACTAGAAACCTTTTTCCTCACTCTCAAGACTTTCTCTAATCTTTGATCCACAAATCGAATAACTTCAAAATCGCCTTGGAACTACTTTATCCTATCAGACACCTCTCTCTCATTTGCTGATACGAAGCTCACCACACTTGTTGCTAACAGAAGCTCACCTCTATCATCTTCACTTGAGGTTCGGTCTTTATACTGTGAGGTGACATCACAATTCTGAGTGAGATCACTCCCCTCATTTACATACTTATTGCTAACAATAACTTTTCCTGTTTGCCTGGCAGCCTATTTTCCAACAATACTCTGTAACCTTTTACATTATTCTTTTTGACAATTTTCAGGATGTTTTATTCTTTAAGGTTTAGCAAGTTCCTAAATTGTGCTTGTGGGGTCTTCACCCTTTTTCTCAGTGCAGACTTACTTTTTTCCACTCAGGAGCGCAAGTGTGCATGAGTTTTATCTACGGCACTTTTCTCTCGTCGGCGAGTTGGTTTCTCTTCTATTTTTAAGTTTCTAAGGTGTGTGGTGAGGAAACCTTCATCCTAACAAAACATAAGTCCCAAACAAAAATAGAATAAAAAGCAAAAATAAAAGTAAATAAAAATAATGCTCAGACTTGGTTCCTTACACCCCTACTCTGAACTCTGAAAGGAGCCCAGAGCATTTACTCAAATACTTTTATAATTAGTATTTTTAATATTTAACTTGCATTCATATTTATTTGTATAAAAAAATTAATTTTTAACAAATATTTAATAAGAGGAGAAAGGGGGCAATAAATCTACATCTACATATCTTTATTCTACACTATTTGCACTTTAATTTCACCCTTTCAGAAAAGTTGTTCAACTAAAAAGTATGTGATTAGCTACTTCAGCACTTGTTCAGAAAAGGAAAATACATACTCTGATCAATTAGTCTGGCTCATTCAGAAAAATAGAGTACGTATTTAGAGCAGGGATAATAAAGGAATGATTCAACTCTTCAGAATTATAACAAAATACAAAAACATTTTAAAAAACTAATAAATATAAAATCCATTTTTTTTCATTTAAATAAAAAAAACTAAATTAAATTTAAAATGCCTGAGTCGGAGTCAGAGTTGACACATTTTTCCCAACTCTTACTCCTCTGGCAAGAAATTCCTCCCGATTCCGACTCCACAGCCCTGGTTCACACTAATAATTAATCAAATACCAAAAATGCAAATTTAATGTATAAACTTTTATTTATATCCATTTTAATGAAAAAAGAAAAATTATAAGATAAAAAAATTATAAAATTATGTATGAAAAATGTACAAGGTAATTCAGCTAAGCAAATACAAACATCTGGGAGGGATAAATTGCACAAAGACAAATCGGAATCATATAACAATGCCAGGTTGGTAATACCATCTTCATGTGCTAATGTACAGAGAGGATGCGAAATGAAATGCTTTTTATTACTCACAAGACATTTGCAAAATGCATTGAGGTTACATAAGATGTTTAAAGTTGCAACCATGAACTGTAACACATGCTTGACAACATTGGTGCACAAAACCACATACATTTTGGAAAATTCCTGGCATGTCTTAGATTTCTGAAGCAGTTACAGAGATGCATGCTACTAGGTCCTCATCATGCTGGAACCATATTGCATGGTGTAGTGATTGTGGAATCTGTTTGTGCAATAGCTCTGACAAGACATTCCCCCAGAAATATCTGATAATGTCATTTATCACTTGAAGATGGTGTTTTTGACCCAGCATTGCTATATGATTCCAATTTGTCTTTGTGCAACCTACTCCTCCTAGAAGTTTGTACACACTTAGCTGAATTACTCTGTATATTAAACCTTATATTTTCAGCTTTAATTGTTTAACCAGAAATGCTGCATAATTATTTTATTCAGTATTTTATTAATATAAAAATCATAATTTTTATATTATATTTTATATTATATTTGGCTTAATATAAAAATCATAATTTTTATATTAAGCCAAAACCAAATAATTTTTAAGATTTGCTCATGATTTATAAAGCATGGTATATATATGTACGTACACACACATTATTTCTTTTACAAAATTCTTTAAAATGAAATATACAAAACACAAAAAAAATTTTGTGTTCATATTTTAGGAATTTAAGTGCATAAAGCAAATGACAATAGAGTGGAAGTTAATTCTTTGATTTACTTGTATTTTAATTGAAAAGTGTAGTGGTTTATTCAATAAAATGTTTTTATATATTATAAAAGAATAGAAATAGAAATATATAGCAACTGTATAAAAATTCTGTATTAATCTGTTTCTGTATTATTTCTAACAATAAAAACAAAATTTATCTCAAAACAAGAAATATTTTAAAATCCTATTTAACTTTTTAAGAATTCCTGAAAAACATTTTCAAGTATAACAAACATTGCAAAGCCTGATAAGTACAGTAAGACCCCGCTTAACACTAATTTGATATAACACAGTCTACTCAAAGCCTAAAAAAAAGCTCAAAATTTACACACTGATTTAAATTATTGCAGCATTTCATTGATTCATATATAATACAATTATTTACAAACACAAACCAATCAGAAAAAGGTGTACTTTCTTTAAATCTATGTTTGTTTAGTGCAATTTTGAAAAAATATATATCATGGATGCCATAAGCAATATAGACTTTGCTTGGCAAGAATAACCACAAACGGAGTGTGGAAGTTATGGCTGAAGGTATCCAAGAATTCTCAACGAGAAGAGCCTATCATTGTATCGTTGTACCAAATTTTCAATCTAATCAATACAGCAGGACTAGGAGATATAGACAATCAGGATATTGAGGAGTTACTGAAGGTTTCTGGCAAGAGCCTTGCCAATGATGACCTCCAAGAACTGGCAGAACAAGGAATTTGTATAGAACTGGAAAATAGATATTCGGAAAACAAAGAACCCAATGAATTTCTCTACAGATTTCCTTAGTAAAAGTTTGGTAATGATAACCGAAATTGTTGATCAAATTGTAGCAAACAATTCAGATTTTGAAAGGAGTGAAAAAGCAAAACGAGGAATTTTGGATGTGATCTTCTGCTACCAGTATTTGCTTAAGGAGGAAAAAAAAAGCGACAAATGAAACTTCACGACTTTATTGCAAAAAAACAGAAATTTCAGAAAAGTCAGGACTTTCATCACAAAAAATGAACTACATTTCTCTGTGCATATGTTTATGTGTTATTTAACATATATTATTATATATAACTCCTGTCCACATTCAGCCAGAATGATATTTTTTATTTGCTTATGCTATTTTACGTTCTATCCCAAATAAGTTAGGAGGTGTCTTAGCTTTAGTTTTATCTGTGTTAATTTTACTGTCTTTAAGACTTATAGGAAAGTCTGTAAGCTCTCTCTCTTTTAGCTTATATGGACGAATTCTCTTCTGAT